CTCCCTTCAGTTGGAGGGGTGGGGGCGGTCATCCTGTCCCATGCAAGGGCTCGAGGGCTCAGGGGTTCAGGGGCTCAGGGGCACTAGGGCGTGGTCGCCTGGGCAACTGTTGGTGGGAGTCAGGTGACCTGTTGGTCCGTGCGCTGGTGAGAGTTTTTCGGGATGTCTGCAGCACCTCGAATCGCCCTACTTTCCACACCCACCGCGGCCACGCAGCAAAGTGCGCGGGCGTGCAGTCGGCGTAGTTAGATAAGGTTTTCTCAGAGCTTTCGAAAGGCGCCGGTTTTGAAGACTTTACGCAAGTAGTCAAGAATCGGCTTCCCTTTTGTATTCTCGTATACAGCTATACTGGTCGCCCTATAATCTCTGGGAAACCATAGAACCCCCTTTCCATCCAGAGTTATCCACTCTTTATCAACAGAGTGTGATTATAGTTATCGGGAGAGACAGAAGTTGACGAGAGCCTAAGCAATCCATAATCTGTCTTCAAATACTGGCCATCTTCTGATAATGTTAGATCTGAAATGAATTGATGGGTCTCGAGCGTCTGCCGGTGCGCGCCCGTCGCCGCATCCCAGAGTCGGACCGTACCATCGTCCGAAGCCGACGCGAGCGTCTTGCCGTCCGGAGAGAAGGTGACTGCATCGACCGAATCGCCATGCCCCTCGAGCGTCTGTCAATGCGTATCCCAGCGGTCTCTAACACCCGTAATCGTTTTGATTAACGGCAGCTTTCCTTTCCATTGCGCACGTTTGACCTCGCTCATCGCTGGACTGAACACGAGCGCGGAGCCATATGTCTGCAATGGAGCTCGTTCTAGAGTCGATCCGTGGCTGCGGACAAACTTGTCGGCATCTTCCAAGAATCCAGCAAGTTGAAACTCGCATCCGACTGTTAAAGGCGGTTAGCGATGGATGTAGCGACCACGATCCAGAACATACCTGGACAATATGCAGAAGCTTTCTCATCGATAGAACCCCATCTGAGAGTTTCCCTAGGAGACACAGACTTTCAAGCCAGTGCAGGAACCGTTCCCTCAGAAACTCAAGGACTAGACTATTCCATCGTCCGTAAGCTCTCTGTTGCACTTGGAGCTATCCCTATTCAGGAGATGATCGGCCCAGAAGACATAGGAGTATCGTATCGGAGCCAGCGAATCTGGCTGGGGGGGACTTATATCCCTTGGTTTAAAGCCGAAGTCGAGGTCGTAGATGTTCTGTTTCAGGATTAAGGACATCGCAGCAATTGAGCGGCTGCTGATGTCGGCATGCCTTTGGGCAACTCCAGCTGGCTGAAGCCTGGACGTGTAGTTCTCGTCCAGATAGTCCTTGGCCGACTGGTGGATCAGGGAGACCGTTTCCTCCCTGGTCGTCAGAAATGAGCCGCATTTCCTCACTATCGTCCGCGAGTCCATCTTGGGTGGTAAATCAGCAGAGTACTGATAGCTCGGAGAGGCTGAGAGGGCGGAGTGCGAGGGTAGCAACCACCAGGACGCCCTTGCAGTATTGCGGGTCTCTTCTCATCCCTTTCTCGATTCTGGCCATCATATGATTGTATAGCTGCGACAAGCCAGGAGGGATCTCTTTGATGATGTCGACAGCGTACGTTCCATGCACGTAGTTGAGAGTCCCATCTTCTGCGTCGAGTTCTTTTAACACGAGAGCCACCCAAAGAAACGTGTTCTCGGCTCGTTGGCGAACTTCCACCGCGACCCTCGCCAAAACGCAGTCATCATCTCTCTCTGGTCTTGAGGATAGAGAGCTTGTGGTCGATGTATGCATTGACGGGACCTTCCAGCTGTTGAGCATCTAGCTTAACCAAGGAACCTGCCATATCCGGAGTCTTGAGTTCGACGGTTGGACGGCTCGAGACCAGCCACTTCACTTTATCGGAAAGAGCAAGGGAAGATGTGACGAGCTTAATAAGGTCTGCGAGGCCTTGCTCGCACTCGTCAAGAGCGTCAATGACGAAATACTCGGGGATAAGTCAGGGTCTTTCAGCATGTTCTCTCGAAGGCACTAGACAGAAGCAATAAATGTGGTGTCGCCTTGGAAAAGAGAAGAACCTGCGTTCTTATGCTTCGATCGTAGGTGTGAGATAAGATGCGGTTGCTGAACAAGCAGCAACCACATCAGAGACCTTAGGGTGGCCGTTGCGCTGTTCAAGGCCGTGTCTGTGCCCTGACAGGAATGTGCGACACGCAGGGTGCAAGCTTGGCGGATCGTCTCGAGAGTTCGTGAATGATGCCCATTATGAGCATCGTCTTCCCTGTTCCAGCATGACCCTTAACCCACAGCAGGCGACACGACGGAAGGGCAGAGCCATTTTCGCTCCAATTCGTGAATGCTGCGTACGCCTGTGTGTCGAGAATCCACTTATAGGCCCCATCCAAAGCACATCTTTGTTCTGCTCGATCTTCTTCATATCGTCTTGCGGATCCACCACGAAGAGGCCTCGGAGGCATTCTGCGTCCTCGTCGTCCCTCCGCATCTCCTTCTGCAGGGCGATAAAATTTTCGAATGTCTTCACCGAAGGCTTCCAGTAGCTCCGCCATTTATTTGGCACGCTAGCGGAGAAAGACGAGACCCTGGTGTCGGTAGTAAGAGCAGACGCTTTTTATCTGGTATAGGAGGAGAGCCTTGTAGAGCGCGATAACCCTCACTTGCAGCAGGGGCGGGATCGACTCAAGAGACTCGTCGACGTGATCCTTTTTCAAGAGATGTTCGGACAGGGCGCAATACCAATCCATTTGGGAGACGACGTGCACGATGCCGGCAAGTCGCTTTCGCAGGATTCAGGAGGATCTAGACAAAGGTCAGTGGACGGAGCCGGGCCTTGCAATGGGCCGACTTGCCTGCAATCCGACACAAACACCAGCCCAGGGAAGCGCAGCCTGCGGGATGTTCTGGATAGCTGCATCGAGAATTGGCTTCGCCGATAGAATAAACTGGGCTACATCGCCCACTCCCTTGGTAATCTTCGACGGCGTAAAAATCTTCGCCTGACCTTTCTCCACCAGCTCCCTCATGTGTACCTGTCGCTGGATCGGGTCTTTAAGTTCGGCCGATAGGTCGGTGCTAGAATCAATGTCCGACGCTATCATCAGGGTCTTCACGTATGACTTGACAAGCTCAGCGGTGTCTGCGTCGTCTTCGAGGCTGTCATACGCGGCGTTCTAGAGAGTCTGGGATACGGAAAGCGCAGGGGGCTGTTGCCCTTCAGATTCGGGCGCGGGTGGCTCTCTAGCTAGGGGTTCGACAGGCAGGGCCGGAGATAGAACGTGTGATGCAGTGGCTGACGCTTCAGCTTCTTTGGCTCCCTCCGTGGTGGCCTGCACCGCCGCGCATCGGCGCTGGACGGATCGACAAGGATTTGCAGCATCGTTGGACGGCGTTTTCGTGCTGTGGCTGTCTCGCGGTTCGGAAGACCGGGCAGCTGCTGGAGATGTGAGTTCAAGACCGCCGACTTCGGCGTTCCGTCCCACATACTGGTAGATGGTGTGCGCGACGGGGCCGGCGAAGGCTGTACGACGTCCGAAAACGCGCGCCAACCCGCCCTGAAGCGATTTCCTAAACCGTTTTCCGCGCATGGCTTCGACAATGAACCTGGAGGAGAGAAAAGTGGTGAGGCCATGAGCGGCGAGCTGAGCGGAAATCGACGGACTGCACAGCTCTGCAGGAGCTGAAAGCCGCAGCTGGGTGATTGGTAGCCGTGGCGGCCAATCATAACCCTAAGACATACTCGGTCCAGGTAGTCCATTTCTATCTCGCTCCGCTGCCGTGCCCGGAGCAACGAAGGGCTGCTCGTTACCCTCCTCCTCTCTGGCATTGTACAAGATTCAGGAGGGCGCATTAACACTTTCCTGGTCGACCTCGGAGAAGCGGCATCTGTTGTTGTAGTCATGTTGAGCAGAGGAGTGCGTTATGAGTATGAAGAAAGACGAGAAAGCAGAGAGGAAGGGAATTCTGGGGTTGAGGGAAGAGGGAGGAGGGAGGCCACGACGGCATGAGCGAGCCAGCCCAGCACCGAGCCTCGAGGGTCGGACGTAGTTGGTTCGCATCCTCGGCGACCGCTCCGAACCACCGCGCGAACAAGGAACGGGATCTTAGCGCCGAGAATGCATCTGTATTGCGAATGCGCGGGGCGTGTTCTAGAGGACTCGATGAGTGTGAACGAAGTAGAATGGGCGACGCCTTCCGACCTCCGTCCCCGGCGCCGTTTGGAGTCGTTACGGAGGCGGCCCCGGTCCGGGAACGCGAACGGGATCTTGTCCGGCAAAACTTCCGGTGAGGGTTGGGCCGAATCTGCTGAGTCAGCAACCGCAGCCGTGCACCAGGCGAGAGTTTGCAATTCTCTGGCTGGTGGGAACAACAAACGGAAACGGATGAGGCAGAAAAGGGGTCTGAAGGCTGGGACCCGAACAGAGGCAGCTGTTTGCTCGTTACCTTACGGTCACCCAGGCACCGTATGGAAATCGCGGCTTGTTTGAACCGTAGTGCACTTTGGACTCTCTTTGAGTCTCTAACGACATTAACATACAACAAAGGAAACCTCGCAGCAACTTCAACTATTACCTTAGGGTACCATACCTGGTAGGTTATCTCGTACCTACCTGGCAAGTTTAGAAAGAAGCACAAGACATGAACATAGAACTCCGTGACCTAGCAAGGTCCTGGCATCTTGCCGACACTACAAGAAAGAGAGCTGTTGGTGCACATGACCGCGGCCAATCCCGCGGTACGTTTTGTTTGTTCGGCAACACACCAGAGATCCAGAGACTTGCAGGCTCGCTGTTCTGAAGATCCAATCATGATAATTGTCCTCCCATCGCTGCGTCCTCCCACTCCACTGCATTGCTACATACCACATCAGCAGCATTCTTTGCTACGTCAAGACAAATAGAAACCATCAGTGCAATGCCCCTTATAAGCCATCGTCAGTTGACTTGTCTCGCTGCAGATAACCCCGCCCTATCTATCCCCCCCCCCCTTTTGCCACTGACTTCCCCGTGAGTCCCGGAGAGCATTCGCTTGCAGCTCACGCCATCCTCCACCTCCGACTCCTCCACGTCTGACGTGTCATCCTTTACAATACCCAGAATTACGAACCGGACCGCGGTACGGAGTAGGCAGAACAGCCAGAACAAGGGCAGCCCCTGCAGCGCGGCAAGCAGCGCGAAGATCGCGCCCTGGGAGAATCGAGACGTGGACTTGTCTGTCTCCCAGTCGAACGCAAACGGCCCGACGGTGCTGTACTCGGCAGCGATGGAATAAAGAATGCTCAGATTGAGGTAATGCCGAAAGTAGAACCACATGGCGATGCACAGCGCGAAAGACCATCTCTGGGCGGGACGGTCGAGGTAGTTGAACGGTTGGAGACCTGATCGGGCATTATTGTCATTTGAGCCTAAATGCTGCTGTGAGTGTGTAGAACGTCGGTTCCGCCTCGGCACTGGGTTTGGGAGTGCCAGGCACCACATACCACATACCGACCAGCAGGCCGTTGATGGAAAACATCCATGCCAGAACAGCATGCCGTGGGAGGGTTGGCGCAGGCGACTGGAATTGAAGTCGAGTTGTGATTGACGTTGATATGTACAGAGAAGATTAAGTTATTATGATCTAGTCTCGATGGGTATATCAACCAGCGGCCAAATTTGAGCAAACAACGGCCACTACCAAAAGGAAAGCACCGAAAAGGAAAGATAGTGTTCAAAAAGTGAGTGATATATGATGTTCAGTCATGTCTTGTGGAAGGGGCATAGACACCCATAGCTCGTGTTCCATGTCGTGTCATCAACCACCTCCCACCCACATCGGAGGCGAATCCAAGCGCGTAGTTGCGTGTCCTCAGTCCCATCCAGGTGGTTTCTTCCAGTTCGACGGAGTGGCCGGCATGGAAGGCCCCTTGAACGTGGTGGGTGTCATGGGCTTAGTTGGCTCCAGAGGCTTATACTTGGCAGCCAGATCCGCAATGTTTCCGTGTGCGCTGGCCGGAGGCGACGTTCCGGCCGACGGCGGCATTGGCCACGATATCAATGACGGTGAGAAGATGCCGCTGCTGGCGACGCTGATTCCCCCGATGGAGTCCTGGCTTGATCGGCGGGGCACGGTGGGGGGCGGACTCTGAGGGAAGCCAGCCGACATAGGCGAGACGTCGAACGGGCTGATTGGGCTTCCAGGTCGTCTGTTGGTGAGGGTTGTGATGAGAGGAGCAGGGCCGTCGGGGCGCTCGGGGGGAGCCGCAGCCGGATTGGGGTGCGTGACGGGCGTGGCAACGATGGTACCATAGCTGAGACTGATCCGTTTCTCGACCATCAATGCATCGCCGTGGGAACCATCGGTGAACAAAAGAGAGGCGCCCATGGACGATCGTTTCTTCTCGAGATCCGTGTACGGTGCCACCTTGAAGGGCGTGAACCTGTAAAGAAATGCCTGGACCCGGCGTTTATGCCGGTACTTGTAGAGCAGCAAAGCGAGCAGCAAGAGGAGGAGAACCAGGATGGCTGGGGCACACGTTAGAGGCGATGGACAATATGACAGGGATGGGATCCGCGTGCTAAGACTTACCAACGACACCACCAATGATCCCAAGCAGAGAACCGGGGCTCGGGCTGCCCTCGACGCTGTTGCCATCTTCACCACCGTTGCTGCCCGTGATACCAGTCCCGGACGACGACCCCGCGCCGGCATTCAGCCCATTAAAGTCAGTACCGGAGAAGCCATTACCCGTAAAAGAGCTGGAGCTCGTCGTCCCAGGTGCCGCTACGCCGACGGTAGTTGGGTTGTTGTTGGTAGTACCCTTTTGAGTCTGAGCCACAACTGGTCCGCCGGCGCCACCAACTCCGGCAGAGTCCGAACCACTGCCGGAGCTGCCAGAGCTTGACTGCGAGCCCTCTCCCTGCCCTGACGTGTTCCCAGCGGCCTGAGACACGCCAGACTCGCTACTAGATACAGGATCGTTGGTGTTGCCGTCCGTGGTCGTGCCTCCCCCAGCGTTCATCCCGCCATTGGAGGTGGTCGTTCCCTCAGCGCCTTCGCCATTCCCAGAGCCAGAACCCGAACCAGAAGCCGAGCCAGAGCTAGTGGTGCTGCCCGAGCCGGACGAGCCAGCGTTTCCAAAGCCGGTGCCTGAGGAGCCGGAGCCCGTGCCTGATGAATCCGAGCCGGCGCCAGACGAGCCCGAGCCCGAGGTACTGGTGCTGGAAGACCCGCCGGTGGAGGACCCGGAGCCAGAAGATCCCGAACCTCCCGAGCCATTCGACCCTGTGCCAGCGGCAGGCGGCTGCTGCTGAGCGGGCGGGGGGCTTTGGGTATCGGGGTTAGCTGTCGGCTGCGGGGCCACCACTGGCGGCTGCTGCGTTGGGGGCTGCTGCGCTGCCGGGTTAGTGACCGGCGTGGGGGTCGGAGCGGGTGGTGTCGGCGTCGGAGCTGGCGGGTTCGGTGTGGGCGCCGGATTCGGAGTCGGGGCCGGAGCAGGATCCGGCTGGGAACATCCTGGGGCCTTGGGAAGGAGTTTGCAGATGGGAGACGTCAATGTCTCGACGAGCTCCCCGATCAGCCTCTTTCCCAGGCCTCTTCCATCGAGAGGCCCTTGTGGTGGAATCCGCATCTTGATGCTTCAAGGATGTAGGAGATAGCGTTGCTGATCAATGCGTCATGGCAACCGAGCGTGATGTGATGGAGAGGAGATGAAACCGAATCAAAGTGAGGGACGTAGCGCGTTGGATGAATGCCGAAGGGTCCGGAGCCGATCAAAGAATGTCGATCTGGTCTGTGGTTAACTATGTCAAAGCAAACCGGAGAGGTAAAGTTCTGCTTCCAGAGTCAAAGGAGTGAAGACTTCTGGGATGCATTGGGGAAACCCGGGAAAAGAAACGAAAGGACGACCGAGGGCGAGACTCGGCGAGGATGAGAACATGAAGGCGGAGCAAGCCTCACAAAAGCAAAAGGAACAGCGCAATCTGCTGATACGGAGTAAGAAACGCCTCGCGGTGGGCCACCATTGACCCCGGTTAAGCCCCAGCAGCGAGTCCGGCGTGATGGATTGGTGTCTTGTGGTGCTTCTTTCCCAAGAACCCTGGTGGCTTGCCCGCGGGGTGGTATCGGTGGTATCCTTGAAGACTTGGCATTCAACTGTCAACCGGTTTCAGGCAAGATCGTCGGCTCTGGGCCTGGCGCTTGTCCGGTCTGGGAATAGCGTGGCGCTCCGGACATTTGCCGCCCCGGCAGAGGAGTTGCGCGGGGCACACAATGTGCACGGCACGGCACCTCAGGGGCAGCCAAGTCACAAGTCAGGACTGCCCCTTTTTCCGGCGGTGGCTGACCATCGCAACCCCCAAACTTCTTGAACCGTTTAAACGGCGCGCACCCGAATGCCGAATACGGCACATGGATGGTGGCGTCTCGAGTTCATCAATGAACCTGGTTATCGAATTCTGCGAGCTCTACACCAATGGTCCTGCGGATGTCGGCATGAACTGGTGGGACCCCGAGTTTTTCTGTTCGTTTCAGTTCACGTGTTCGTGTTGCTGACATGTTTGCATGTCAGGGCTCCACGCCTGTCGATCACCTCGCTTGCACCTTGCAGGCATCGCGCCATCCCCCACGCCCATTTCCTCGAGTTCGGCCGAATTTGTGAGCCCCTGCCGTCAGCCAAAACAGCTCTCGGCAAGTCACAATACAGATGTAGAGCCTGGACAGAAAGGCATGCATTGCGGTCGCCGGCCAGGGCACGAAACAAGTGTTGAATCGCAGGGTGTGGAGCCGAGATATGATCGGTCGAACATGTTTGCTTTCCAGATCTGCAACAGGTCTGGAAGATCTACAGACGTGGCTTTCAGGTTGCCTTCTGGCCTGACTACTTCACTTATATTGTTGCCCATTGCGGCATTGCATTGTTTACACCGCGCTCTGTACGAACCGACCCAGTCAAGCAGAGGCGAACAGGCATCACGGCAGAATTGGCGGAATTGCCCAAAGATGAAATATCCACCCCCTTCATTTTGGCTTGAGCCTTAATTTAACGTTATCAATGGTTCCAACAAGGCAGACAATCAGCGGTCATCCAGGTTCCCCGGACTGGCCTGTGCGCTTCCACCCGCGCCTTCGACCCCTGACATTTCGACACCGAGAGCGTTTCCGGTATGGCCTCACGCGAGTAGACGCCATCCGCGTCTTTGACCATGGTACCCCAAGACGAATAGAAACTGGTCCTTTGGACACGCTGCTACCTCCACGATTTGCCCAAGCTGGGGGTACTGCAAAGTAGGAAACGACAAAGCGGCTAGACGGGAAGGACAATGCTAAAGATCGAGAGAGAACAGATACCAAACCGACCTCGAGCAGAGAAACTACGCCGTTGTGACCAAGTGCTGAATTGTATACTCTCAGAGGCATTGGTTTGTCCCCCAACACCCAGAATTTACACTCAACCATCACCATGACTTTGGTCAATCGATCCTCGAAGCCGGCATCTTGGTGCTCAAGATGCTGATCCCAACGCTATGGCTCCAAAGCAAGCTCTCTCCAATCGAGTTCCTCATAGGTTGCACGGCTTTGCTGCTTGTGGCATTCTACTACCTTTGACAGCCCCCAACCTCGAGCTGCCGAGTCTGGCACGTCACAGCGAAGGCACCGTCAGAGCTTACATTTATCGGTGCCGCCAATTCCGCTGGGTGGGAATTGCACGACGAGTTAAATACTTGAAGGTTCAGAACCAGGGTTTGACTCACATGCAACTCAAGCATGCAACAACCGTATACCATGGTAATGGGGTCCAGGACTGCGCTCCAGGTCTCATCACCCTTAATCCGCGACGCTACTCATTGCTGACCAAATGCCGCGCGCGCAGAGCTTCCTCAAAGCCAAATCTTCTCTAGACTGTCATGAGGATGCTGCGCTACGTTGATGACATGGAGCAACGGAGCTTCTCCCCCTTGATAGCCGAAGACGCCTGTCAATGAGCCGCACATAAGCTTATTCCGAACCGTGCTGGCACAATCAGGAGGCATCAAGTTGGTTGGATTGACCCAGCTGCAGCGCTTGCCTTTTTCTCGTCCGACTGAGCACCTACTGTACCTTCATTTTGAGGGGCCCATTCACAATTCTCGTTGTGGCCAGGAAGACCTTGTCTGTATCATGCGGTGCTGCGGGTCTGCGGATCTGGGGGGTCACGCTTTGGTACAGACTGCTGGTGAACAAGTCAATCTACGGTTGTGGGTCGGTAAGTCTCGTGGTTGTCGATCTTTCGGCAGATTCGACGGAAGGATTGATTGAGTTGGAAGGGGTTCCATGAAGATGCAACTGAAAGCGCTCGTTCAGTGTAGTCCCAACACAGCTCAGGTCTGGGCATCCCTACCATGTTTGGACCAGCGATTGTCATTCTAAGTCCAGCCAGGATGCCTAAAGTGAGTGGTTCATGACTGAACCGTTTGCTATCCGTTCAGTCTCGCCAACCTTTTGGCCTCACTTCCAGCCCAGTCCAAGGAATCATGGATCACAGTGGCAAAAAAGCTTGTCAATAACTTAATCCTGTCGAGAAACAGGGGGACGAGTTTGTCACCGTACCACAAAGGGTACGCATACTCTGTGTCTCATATGGTCATGCACTGGTCGTCCCGCTCCTTGAGCCTAGAGACTTACCCATGTCTCCAGTCGTCTCCAGTCGTCTCCAGTGTGTCTGACCGACCTTATGGACAGCCCGGAGAAGACTGTAAATTGTTAGGGGGTTAGTCATGTCCCTTATGCACGAGGCAGGGGACTTACTGTCTACAGAGCACGTTGCCTTCTGTTGGTTGTTTTTTCAAGTCAAATGCCACTTTGTCGGGAGCTTGTGAAGAGAAATGGGAATGCAGCTACAGACTCTGAGTCAAAAATGAGCATGGTTTGTGATTCCTTCAAGTAAGCTTAAAAGTAGCTTAACGTAAAATAAGCGAGTCGCGCATACAAGTGAGTCGTGCACTCTAACAGATTTTGATGGGGTTGTGTACAATAAGGCGATCAGGAATCGCTAAGCCCTCAGTCAATCTCTTATTGTTCTACCGTAGACAACCCCATCAAAGTCTGTTAGAGTGCGCAGCTCACTTGTATGCGCGACTCGCTTAAGATATACGGTAGCTACTAGTTGCCAACAATTCAGAAATCATCAGTTGGGCGTCAGCAGACTGCCGACAATGATTACAGGTACCTTATCAAAGCTGTGACGAATGTGCGAAGTTGGTTGACATTCCTGAGCCCTGGTAAAACCTCTAGGTAATTTGGCGATGTCAATCCAGGTCTAATCTTGTCCGGGTAGTCTGTTTTTTGACGTTCGAAGACACAGTCTGATTGGCTATGTGACACCGGCAGACGTCTACGGCGAATTGTCCTACAGCAGCTCATCTGCGCTCGGACTTGTTTAGTCTGTTGGCGAGTGTTCAGACGTAAGCGAAACGAGCTTCTTTTAGAATTGAGCAGCAGACTGCCATAATATGGAAGTTGGGCCGCAGCAGCTCAACGTCAATCCAGACATGGAGACACACACCGTCATATCCCGATCACGCTTAACTACGCTTTCACGGGGATTAGCGTCTCTCAGCGTTTTGCCAAAACCTGCCGGAGCGAGAACCGTGACCGTCAAGAGGCATTACAGGATCAACCTATTCTTAATCACACTTCGAGTGCCTTATGTACCCCTGTCACACTACGATTCAAAAAGCGAGGACACGGATACGGCCCCAGTCTACTCCGGTCCTCATATAAAACTGGATGTCGGCCACGATGCTTATCTGCAAGACGCTTGGGGATGCAAGACATGGATATGAACAAGTACAATTGAGAAGATCTATACAGAAGAAGCGAATCCAACGCCTGCTATGCACAGCAGAAAAGAAACGTACCGCACAGCGACAAGATAGAAGTCATCTCGACGACAGCAAGCTCGAGCACAGCCCGAGCCATGGGTGGTCTTGAGAGTATTCCCAACATCAGTAGAAAAGAGAACAGTGAGCGGCCGAATCAGGTGGAGTGCTGAATACCCTCCCAATTTAGAGCCTCCTGCGGGTAGACCTCCTGCGGCGGCGACCCGGGCACTTGGTCGGGGAGGGCTGTGCGGTCGAGGTCACGAACGTGGTGGAAGCGGCGGCGGTGGTAGTCGGGACGACGACGACTGAGCTGGGAGCCGTGGTGGTAGAGACAGCGGCCACAGAGGTGGAGGTGGCGGCGGCAGCAGAAGAGGAGCTCGGGCTGGCAGCCGACGAGGGCGCGGGAGAGGAGCCCGAGCCGGCGCCGGTCCAGACCTTGGGGCCGGGGATCTGGTAGCTGCTGAAGCTGGCGTACAGATTGAAGACGATGCCCGGGTCCGCGTAGGTGTAGCCGGTGTTGAAGTTGAAGTTCTGGTCGGGGACAGCAGAGCCGGAGCCCGTCACCTCGACCTGCACGCAGCTGGGGTAGAACTGGGCACCGCGGGCCGGGTTGACATTGTACGCAGTGTCGGACTCATGGTGGGCAATGATCTCCTGGCGAAACAGGTACCGGCCGGCGGCAAGGTTGGCCGGGATTTTGAAGTCATATTTGCCCTTGTTGGCGATGAGCTTTGTGACGGCCCAGGTAGAGCCGTCATAGCCGGCCTCGTCGATCTTGGTCCAGATGGACTGGGCACCGTTGCCCTCGGTGTAGGGGGCGATGTAGGTGATGATGGGACCCTTGTGCGAGCCGTCGATGATGTCGTCGTTGCGGAAGTTGTGGTACCACTCAAACGACAGGGTGTCGCCGGCAGCGGCTTGGATGAAGGAGCCGGCGGCCTTGGCACCGTTGTCGTTGCAAACCAGGTTGGGGCTCGAGAGGTCCTTGACAGGGCTGTTGGTGTTAGGGGAGCGAATGTAGACGTTCCTGCCGTCGCCTTGGTCGACCCCGTTCACCCAAACGCCGTACATGGTAGCGTGGGCAGCGGCGCCGCTGGCGAAGGCCAGGGCAAGCGTAGCCGCGTTGAGATACATGGCAGCTAGAGATTCGTTGATGAGATGTCGGTATGTCAGGCGAGTGGTGCTTCAAGCGTGGAGGACAGCAAGGAAGGACAAGAATCGAAGTGAGAAGTGTCAAAAGACTAGCAACGGCTCCTATGGCCTGGAAAGAAACGAAAGTGCTTTTGTTGAGAAGAAACGATAGACTGGTGCAAAAGAGTGCTGCAGGATGGCCCGGCCAGTGTTCGACGAAGAACACAACCCAGTTTTTATATCTCCAGTTTCGCGCCATGACAGACTCTTCTCCATCTTGCCGCCGTTGACATGGCCTCATGGCCAGGCTCGCCGCGGAGGCGGCAACGCGCTTGCGGCTCAATATTCCAGATCTGGGAGGGCGAACCGGGCTCGCGTCCACGAGGCAATCTTACGATTGGTGCAATCTTGGCGAGTGTGGGTAACAAACCAGCCTTGCACCGCACAGCGATGCGTTTCAGGAGAGGCTGGTGATTGCGAGGGGGACATGCGGATCCGCTTCCAGAATCCCACGGCGGCGGGCGAGAATCCAGTCGTGCGCCACGAGGCAGATCCCCTGCCGTTGAAACCGCCAAGGATGCAATTGGAGAAGCGAGGTCCACCAAAACCACCCTTCATCTTTGACGCATGAAAAATGATCCGTCCACAAATTCCGCTGGTGATGCAGGCCACATCACGGCATACACATGCTGAAAGGTAATATATTTGGTATCCGGGTACACAGATCGTTGGATCCTTGTGGTTGTGCCTATCTTTTCCAAATTATATCCCCGCTACCATGATGAGTACCTGGGTAGTGTAGGCCTGCATTAACCATGAATAACGCTGCTGCGAGGCTCATACGTGCGGATGCACATGCGAAGAATCAATCACCTCGAGAGTCGTTTGCCTTTCGATGGTATTGATGGCACGGAGGTATTCCTTCCCAACTTCTTTCGCTAAACCGTGGGGGTGACCAAGCGCGCGTGTTCTGCCAAGGCGGTAACCTTTCCGGCCTGGCGCCAAGGCCCCCCTTCGGTCACGGTCGTCTGGAATTCGATCCTGGAAACACCCGGAATCATCGGAAACTCAGGGGCTGCAGACAGGCGAGATCATGACGTGGGGAGCTGTATCTCGGCTATGAGTTCACCTGAAGTCTCCGGCCGAGCTACTCCGTAGACGCCTGGCTATCATGGGGTTCATAAGAATATCAGAACCCCTTTCTTTTCCAGTCCTTTCCCCTGCTTGCAGGATCCTCCCAGCTAATGTCGAAGTCGAACTCCGAAGGACGACGACATGCTGGCCAAGGGGGCGGCAGCTGTACATGATAAAACATGGAAACTTTTTCATTGTTAAGTTGTCCGTGCAATCGCGGCACGGGGTCACCGGCAGCACGTTCACGAGAGCAACACGATACAATGGAGAAGCATACCCTGTCAGGTACCAGGTAGGTATCGTCACACAGCTTATCAGCAATGTGCTTCAACCTGAAGGGCGGTTCCAGCTGTTTGTAAGTGGCCTCGCAGGTTTCTATGATCCAGTTGACCTAATTATATCTCAAGTGTGGTGGTACTATGTTAGTTCTGATGCTCTCTCTGGGTAAGGTACCCTAAGTTCACAATCAGATACCTTCCACGTTTGATCCTGAATCATCTTGATTGATATATGGCAGCCATATTGTGAGCCTCCGAGGAAGAAGGAAAGCCTTCCACGGCCAGCGCGGCACACAGAGCATCGTGATAGGTGGTACCTAGAGCCAAGCGTCTATTCTATCCCTAGATCAACATGCTGGTTAGACTACGAGGAATCGCTTTATTGTTCTCTGAATAGCTCTGTACCTGGGATAATTCCATGCCAAACCGATGGAAGATGGAAATATAGCCCAGTGGGAGGCACACAGGGTCAAGATACTACCTACCTAGTAGCAACTATCCGGTCGTGGCGAACACCGGATTGTAGCATAAACATCGAACAAATCGCATATCGGGGCGACTTTTCAACTTGGCCCAACGGCAAGCAGAAGATCGCTCTCAGCCTGATGGTTGCATGCAGCTTCTCGAATCCCGGCCGGCATTCAGGGGTCTCTGCAAATATGCTAAGCGGAACGAACCACAACTGGTTCTATGAGCATAGATTGTCGGTACCCTTCACGCCGTCCGCAAGATGCATGTCACCTTCCCCGCTATGTGCAATACATAGCTTTTTAGCCGAGATGAGGCGTCCAGGAGTAACAACATCAAGCCTACCTAGAAACGCCCTTAACCACGATCCAAGCAGCTGTCTGTTCGTCTCTCCACGCCCAGAATTTCCACTGCAGGTCTTGGACATTCACAAGCAAAGCATGGTCCCCAAGATGAGAATTTTCGGTAGTCTCATCGTCTCCACCGTCTGCGTTGCCGCTACCTGGCTTCCTGAAGTCATCACCAGGGATGTCGCCATCATTGGTGGTGGCGCCAGCGGCGCATATGCCGCCGTCAGATTGAAGGAGGATTTCAACAAGAGCATTGTTCTGGTCGAGAAGGCTAATCGATTGGTAGGTATTTTATGCATCTGCCTTGACCTTGACTTATTCCATCTCACTGGCTTTCCTAGGGTGGCCACGTCGACACATACAAGGACCCTAAGACGGGCAATTGGTATGATTTTGGCGTCCAGAACTGGAACGATTATGGCCCGGCGAAAGCCTTCTTTGACCGCATGGGCGTGCCCGTCGGCGCCCCAGGCCGCAACGTGCTTGCTTCGCGGTATGCAGATTTCACCACGGGCGCCGGCGTCAACTTCACCCCGCCCGCCAATGCTGACCGCGTCGCCGCCCTGGGCCGCTTTCTCAACGCCACCGCTCCCTACGAGCAGTACTTTCTGCCTGGTTACTGGAACTGGCCAGCTCCCGATAAGATCCCCGAGGACCTCCTCCTGCCCTTTTCGGACTTTGTCGAGAAGTACGACATTCGCGACTCCGTCAACCAGGTATTCCAGGTCACTGGCATGGGCGTCGGCGACATGTCCAATGCCCTCACCCTCTATGTCCTCGGCGCGTTCGGCCCTCCCATGATGCGCGCCTTCCTCGGCCAGGGGGCCAGCTTCACGCCAGACACGCGCCGCAACATCGCGCTTTACGAAGCCATCCAGACCCGCCTCGGCGCCAACGTCCTGCTCAGCACCGTCGTCACCTCATCCATCCGCACCAACCTCGGCCATACCCTCTATACCAAATCCGCCGACGGCAAAGCCCGAATCATCATCGCCCGCAAGCTCCTTATGGCGATCGAACCCACCCCGGCAAACATGGAACCCTTCAGCCTGGACCAGGCGGAGCAATCCGTCTTCTCCAAGTTCAAGTTTTCGACCGTGCAAGCGGGCATCGTCGCCCACCCGTCGCTGCCCATCAACGGCACCATCATCAACACCCCCGCCGCCGCCGCCCCAAATAATTACCTCGTCCTCCCCAAGCCCGACTTCGTCGTTCGCTTCGACCACATGGGCGGCGGGTCTGACCTATTCCGCGTCCTGGTAGTCGGCGCCGGCGTCGTGACCGTGCAGCAGGCGCAGGACATGGTGCGGCAGGACCTGGCCCGACTGATCGCCGCGGGCACGCTGCCGGCCACGGCGGACCCGGCGGCGCTGCTCGAGTTCAGGGCCTGGGCTGACCACGGCGGGATGCATATGCATGCGTCTGCGAAGGAGTTGAGGGACGGGTTTGTTCAAAAGTTGTATGCGCTCCAGGGGCGGAGGGGGACGTGGTGGACGGGTGGGGCGTTTTCGGTGCAGTTTCAGTCGATTCTGTGGGCTTATGATGACGTGTTGTTGCCCAAGATGCTTGCTTAGGGATGTGGAGAGAGGTGTATTGACGGGGTGTCGGATGACCAAAGTCGAACTGGCAGAGGGAATGGGGCCCGCCGACGGTGCTATCACAGAAGATACCTGACTCGAATTGGCCAATCCAAACAGTATTTGCTATGCTTTTTGGTCCCTTTGTTGCTTGGGTGCATGTAGGCTCTTATCGTTTCCGGACTGGCTCAACCTATATTGCTTCATAACACGTCATGACTGTTACATAAAGTGACAGGAGACCTAGTATGCAACAATAAAGAAACTGTTGATTTCTCATGCCACATAATTATGTGAGATGTGGGTTTAATAGGGCTATATAGCTACCGCAGGGTGTGCCTTTCAGGAGCTGCGATCATGAGATGGAGTTTGCTCTAGGGGTAACGGAGGCACAAAGTAAAAAATGGACACACAGGGATACCTGTAAACGAGCGCCGATGCCATCAGTCTTGCTTCTCCCCTGGCCGGCCTATCCCAAGGTACACATTACCTTACGCGATATGCAAGCATGAGGAGAATTCACCATGGCATTCTTTTGAGGTCAACACCCGCCAGCACCCGATCTTGGTTCATACCAAAATGGCCTGCCCTGGCGTGTCAACGTGGCACTGACCGTGTTTACATGCAACTGGGGGGTGGCGATACCATTGTTGGCATGGCCGGCTGTACTCCTGATGTAAAGTTGGATCGATGATCAATTCGTTCCATCTATGCAAAGCGTGCACAGGATGGCTTCAGCTAACATACATGGTAGAGAACTTGACCAGGCACTCCCTGCTGTCCATAGCGAGCGGTATGCTTAGGCACGTTGTACCCACGACGACTGGCACCTCCTTGCTTACCACACAATGGTGGAGCATGGATTGTTCGACGAGAAACGGTTCGGTCCTGGGGCGGAAGACCGTCGGATAGTAGTGTTCTCCAGGACGTACCACTCATTACAGTACCTTAACTTTCACGCTACAGCCACAACCGCTAGGTGTTTCAACCCCTTGGTGATGACAGCTAGCGCGGCTCGGACTGCACAACTTGGCTGCTCTGGCCCATCTCACTCACTCTGCGCCCTTATCTCTCGCAGTCTGTTCCAGTTGACTCCACCGGCCTACAACTCACCTGGCAGGCCCCCTAACGTTGCACAATGCCCTTTCTAAGGGTTGAAATCTCTGTCCCAGGGTCATTCCACACCAGTTGACGAGGGCAGATCACAGGCACTACACACTGGAACCATTGGTAGCTGGCGCGGCCACGGGTAGAGATGGCTCCTCCTCCCCCCATTATCATCGGCCAGTTTTGCTTCCAGTTACTCCGCGGGCGCCGATAAACTCGCTAGCATCAGCTCACTCCTGGCCACTCCGCCCTCAAACACTGCCCGATACGGCGAATACTCCTGCTGCGCCCGAGAAGGAACACGGAGGTAAGACGACCTCTCTCCTTTACCAAGTACTGGCACTGAATTGGATTCCATATCGTAGCCTACACAGGCACTTCACGACTTCCGATACACCGGGCGAACCCCTCTGCTTGGTTCTCCTCCCTTCCCTTGGAACAGTGGGTATGGGCTTAAAGAAGAGCAAACGTTGCCATGGGGATCCGTCAGCTTCCAAACGTTCGTCCCTTGCGGCTCGCTCGAGACAAACTCCCTTTCGGGCAATCCAAAGCCATCCTACAACTCCCGCAACCGCGGCGGCAGCAGCTCTCTGGAACACAGTAGAGGAGATGGAATAGGCATATTTGGCATCTTCAATGGACACACACGACGCCCGGTAGCCTGAACTTTACACAAGCATTGGAGAAGAGGCCGACACAATCGTTAACCATGGGCTTCCAAGCCTTTCCAAGCCACAAACCGAGGACCCCTTCTACATTCCTGCTTCCTCTGTTCCCCAAGAATCCCATGCTTCACCCCACCATCCGGAGATGCGCCGTTGGGTGCTCATCTTCCGAGTGGTGTCATCCCGGGTACGTCTATGTCTCCCCGAGCACAGTCACCGCCACTGACACATACCAGTACTCGGATACGACGCCTTCATGGGAACTACGGACACCGACAGGACTTTGTCACGTCATCTTTACCAGGTCCGCATCGCCACTTCATGCCGCCTATAAGGGAGTCTATCCACTTCACGACAATATCCCTGGTATGTTTTCTCCGCTGGCTTGGCTAGGCTGACGTACATAACTGACCTGAATCCAACAGGATTTCGAGGAGAACCAGGACGACAATCATTCTGAGTTCTACCGGTGACATTTCGCAATTATAGGGGTTGTCCGCTCCAATCCCATTTCAACCGCTCTTCGACTGGGCTGGGAATATGTAAGGTACCTAATTGTTCAACCTTGGATGAAACCAGATCAATGACTGACGCACTCACGGTGATATTGACTACCAAAGATCAATGCCCACCCAGTACCAATAACGATGGGCCGCTACACGTATTCACTGACCACCTCACACTCTCTCATTTCACAGTACTTTTTCTTTGTTATATACTTCCCCAATTTCTATTCTCTCCCTTCCCCCCACCCACTTCAGACTCTTCCAAGCTTTTCCACAGACAAGATCCATCGCCGAACATCATCTCTGGCATCACTCGCAATATGGCGGACTTATCGTCCATCCCAAACCCAACTCCCAAGCAGTTTATGCAAGAATACCACTTCTACCGCGACCAGCAACCAGCCCTCTACAGTCAGCAAGCTCTTTACAACGAGAACGGGGAGGTCAAGGTACGGAATGACAGCTCCCTGTCGCCAGGCAATTGCACCCGCCTGGTCGAAGGTGACCTCATTCCGGTGACTGATCGCGCAAGCCAGCAACTCGCCAAGCGATGTGCTGATCTCATCGACAAGTTTCTCGCCTCTGCCACTGTTGATGGAGGGGAAAATAACTCCACGAACAAAGGAGCCATCAACGGGACGGAGAGCAATACCGTGACCGGGGATGACCAAAAAAACACCATCCAATCATGAACCAACACCACCACACACAATGGCAACAACAACAGCAGCAACAAACTGGCCCATACCCTGCACATCCCCCTCACCGACTTCCACGAATTCACCTCCCTCTACCAAACCCTCCTAATCAACCAAGAACAACACAAAACCCAAGCCCAAGCCACAAAACAGCAAATCCAACTCCGCGAAAAAGAAGCCTCGCTCACCAAGCGCGAGCAAGCCCTCGCCCAGCGCGAATCTACAGCCCACCTCCTCTTCTCCACGTCCCTTCTATCCCAACAGCTCAGCTTTATCTGACACAGGGCTACGATGCGGGTTACAAACCCGGTTTTGAGCTCGGTCGGCGGTCCGCTGTGCCGGTGGCATATCAGATGCATTTATCTGCGCTGGGCGAGATCTTTAGAAGGGCCAAGGAGATCCGGGCGGACTTGCAGGTGAAGCTGAACGCGTCGTCTGGCCTGAACAATGGCATGGTTCACGGCCAGGGTCACCGTGTGGCTCCTACTGGGATGATGGTGAAGTTGGGGACGGAGCTGGGGAAGCTGGAAGGGACGGTGGAGTATCTGGTGAGGAAAACGGCTGTTGCGGCGGGTGAAGGCGGATTGGGGTTGGATGAGTTGACGAGCATGGTTGTAGGCGGTGGTAACGAAGGACGACGGGATGGGGTGGAACTCTGCGAGTTTTTGAGGATGGCGCTGGACGGTGAGAGGAGGGGATGGGGGACAGCGATGATGGAGAAGAGGAAGCATGGAAACTCGGAGAAGGGGGGGTAGCCAGGAACAATCGACTGCTCCGGAACAAACGGAGGAAGTTGAGGCTGGAATGGGAAAGGGGGACTTGGGCTTCTGCATCTGATGGTCCGAAGGGATAGATGGGCAGTATGCGAACGCGGGTGCTGGTGGAATTGGAAGAGAGACGCTGCCATTCTCGGAGGCTTGGGCCAAGAAGGTTGGCGGTTTGAGTTCCGGCGTTTTAAAATGGGTAACTAGGGCTCAACAATTGTTCAGGTCTGGGGAAGAACGATACCCAATGTTGTCTTAAAGCAGGGTGCCTGGTAACGCAGGTCTGAGTGGTAGCCTGAATTCATTGCTTTACCCCCATTTTAAGTTCAACGAGAGTGCAACGGCTGCAAACACAGAAGCTAATGTACATCTAGATCGATGAACGATCAGCATGATTCGAGATTTGAAATGCCCTCTCAGCAGCCCGCTCGTACACCTGGCGTTTCCAGCGAGGAGTCGGACATGACCAGTTTTTTCATTTGAGGCACCAGGAAGTGAGAACGGAGCCTGAGCGCAAGGCTGACCAGCAATGTTTTGGTTATGCATCATTATGAAAATCTAATAAAGTCATCGCCAGATCCCCGGGGTATTCAAAAGTCCAAACAGCATGCATCCCAAGGTCGCTTCAACACGGCCATGCGGCGCCTCGCACCTCAATGCCTTGAACCAGAGTGTGTAGTCCTACATGAAAAGTATCGCATCGCTTAACCAGAGTAGCCCCAGCGAGGAGCGTTGATGATGATGCCCATCAGGCAGCCTGAGATGATGCCGGTGACGGGCAGGGTAATGATCCAGCCGAGGTAGATCCAGATAACCATGCGCCAGTTGACGGTGCGCCAGGTGCCCGAGCAGAGACCGACGCCGACGGTGGCGCCGGTGATGCATTGGGTGGTGGAGACAGGGAGCTCTGCCGAGGCAGTCAGTATCACGAGAATCCGTCCAATTGGTGGAAAAGAAGAAACCTACTCAAGCGGGTAGCCATGATAATGGCGACGGCAGAGCCCAGCTCCATGGAGAAACCACGCGAAGGCGACTGCAGAGTAAGACGATTGCCCAAGTTGCGCATAATGTTGTAGCCGTAGGTCCAGACACCAATAACGAGCATGGCGCCGCCAAAGCAGAGAATCCAGACGGGCACGTCAGACTTGCCCTTCGGGGGAAGCGCGCCGTCGTTCCAGACTTCGAAGACGGTGGCGTAAGGGCCGACAGCGTTGGCAATGTCGTTGGCGCCGTGCGTAAAGGAGGCGGTGCAGGCGGTCATGACCTGTAGGAAGGTGTAGACGTACTCAGTCCGGTTGTCGAAATGATCGGCGTAGGCGTGCACCTCATCGATGTTGGCGGCCAGCTTGCTGTGGGTGCTCTTGGCATTGACCACTTCTTTGTCGACACCACGCAGCAACGCCCACTTGACATACCAGAAGAGCACAGCACCCTCGTACCACTTGCCCTCGGGCTTGGGACCAACAAGGCTCTTGTGAGGAGGCGCGGTAACATTGGCCAGGGGGCTTTGGGTTGTGGGCTCAGCCGAGCCAGCGTCGGAGCCCTCGCCCTTCTCGTTGGGCTTGGCACCCACGAGCTCAACATCGTTGCGCTCGGCGGCCTTGCGAGCCTCGAGACTCTCCTTGGTCGCTTTGCCGGCGTAGAAATCCTTCAAGACAAGGGCCTTGCCCTCGGGCGGCGGCGGCACCGGGCCGCGGAAAAGGAGGACAGGGCCGAGGAAAACGTGGTACCAACGGAGCTGCCAGTCCTCGAGATAAATGAGGCGGTACAAGAAGACGCCGAGAGTGAGGGCAATGAACACGCCGAAGGCAGCACCAACGCCGACAATGGTGCCGGCGACCTCGGAATCGGTGAGCTTGATCTCGTAGCTGCCGCCTTTCCACAAGAGCAACATGGTGAGCAGCATGGCGGCAACGCCGAAGTAGATGGGGAGAGTGCGCAGCGCCCAGAGTGCTGAGTTGGCGCGCTTGAGGATGCCGAATCTAAAACCCTATCAGAATCCGTGCTAGAACGCGAGGAGTGGACTTGCTACACACTTTGTGACGAGGAAGATGATCGAAGCGAAGCAGCCGGCCAGGACGGGAGCGATAATCCAAGCGAGGAAGACCTGGACGACGCCGGAGTTGATGGCACCGGTGCCACTGCCGGAGCCAACCCACTGTACACCTGCAGAGTTGATCAGCAATTTGCTTATCGGTCCCCCGTCTTCAAAGATCTCTTACCATTGGCACCAACGGAAGCAACGCCCATGCCGATAACACCGCCGAGAATTGAGTGCGTAGTGGAGACCGGCATGCCGATTTTCGTAGCGAAAGTGAGGTAGATAGACGAGGCAGTGACGGCGCAAACCATGCCGAGCATCAGCATAGCCGGGTCGTCCTTGTAGAGGGAAGTGTCGACGACCTTGGTGCGGATCGTATCGGCGACACGCGCGCCAACGCCAACGCACCCGGCAAACTCCATAATGGATCCGAGAATCATGGCCTGGAGGTAGGTGACCGACTGGGACGCGACCGAAGTCGCCCAGGAGTTGGCGACATCGTTGGCACCTGAGGAACACCATCCGTCAGTCTTCTAATGTGCGCGGTCAAGCCTCACATGGCAGCTGCTCACCAATGTTCCAGGCATCAAGCCCGGCGAAGATGGTGCCGATGGCGAAGAGGTAGTCGAACTGGTGGAGAGGCATCTTGACGGTTGTGCCTTGAAGCCTTCAGCAGCAGTCGCGTGCTCGTTGCTCAGGGTACGGTTGATCAACCTGGGAAGCGAAGGAGATGCAGAGGCGGGCCGGCTGTTCTGTATTTATTGACCCGACAAGACTGGCGGATCGCTGAGAAGCGGCACCTAGGGTATCCATAACCTGTTACCACACACGTGGGATGGTGGCTTCAACCGCAACTCACGATTTTTTTCTGCCCACCGGCTTCGCGCATCCGCATCTTGGCGTGTCGGTGGATGAGACCCATGTTGGAAGGTCCCGATCCTGACCAGTTGAAGCTGGTTGGCCGGGGTGACCGAATCTCGCCGGAGTGGGGCGGAGAGGGCTGAGTGTAGCCTTGGCGGGCCGAGTTCGCACAATTATCGAGTCTCGGTCTGCCTGTAAGAGTGCTCTGCCGAGGAAACGTGGCCAGGGGGTTTTGCCGCTTGGCTTGGTGCGCTCGGTGAGGCAAAAGGACAAGGTGCGGATCCTTGTGGCGTGGACGTTGCATCTCAAGTATCAAATCGGGCATCACGCCCCTCCATCCAAAGAGCGGGGGGTGTCATTGCGGCTCGCTCGCCTGGTCTCCCAAAACAATTCGCTGGTTATTTTGATATGCTGCCTGTTCAAGCAATGGTCGGCACCAGACAAAGACACCTCAGAGATGTGTTTCCGTGGTGTGTTCGAGACCGCCATCTCCCAGCGCAGGAGGCCGACGGTAACCCTTCTCTGATTCTCTTGTCCACCGTCATCGCCGGTCGAAGCTCGCAAGTTCGCTTCTGGCCGCGGACTAGCTCGAACGACTCCCGATGTTGCTTGAATTGCCACCACTGTACCGAGATGCGAGATGCGGCATGTGCGTTCGGTGGGCTTGGCTTTCGAGGAGGATCAGTCGAGTGTCCGCAGTGGCAGCGATGAGAATCTCTAGTGAGACAGTATGGCCACACGTGTGAGGAAGCCAAGCATTGGCAACCTTGGCATGTAGGGAACAATTCTGCGCTTTATACATTTATTGGCCTGTGTCTCGGTTTGCGAGGTTTAAAGCACACGAGCAGGGGCGGGTTGTTCCAGCATCGAGAATGTGGAAAAATTGGCCTCTCAGATCCCTGTCCCAAGGCATGAGGTTTACGTGCATGCAGCCAAGGCGGGACATCTGGGGCAGTCAATCTTGGCAGCGCGCTATGCCGGGTTTTGGATAGCCAATGGAAGGGCTAGAAATCGAAACGTGCACGATCCACTCGCTGGCGGTTGCTCAACTCATGGGGGTGGTGTTTATGTTTGAATGCAGATATCGATTTTCTCGTTCTCCCAGAGGCTGACCATTGCCTGATCAGACTGCTACTTTCAAGAACTGTCCGTACTCCGTATCGGTCCCCGTACCTCAGTCCGGAGCGTCGAGTCTGACAGGTTCGCGCCGTCGATTCAGCTCAGAGCTGCTTTCCAACCTGGAACTCTCCAGCTTTTGCATTGTAACAGTTCTCAGGTTTGCTCAAGTTCTTCGCTTGACTCTTCCCCGCAAACGGGACATGTGTCGGCTGCCGATAGTGCCAGCCACATGCGCTCCGCCTGCCGCCCTTGCCATCTGGGTCTCCTATCCGATTGACCTGCCAACCCAATTTGGAGACCGAGGGATCTGATGATTCCCGGAACTTCTCGCTTTTGGGCGACGCCAGAAGATCAGATACACCATACCATGGTAATGGGCTGTTCATTGTCAGGCCGGCTTACTGTTACATTGCATGTCTTAAGCGGGGCGCCGGGGAGTGCAGTGACCATGATGGGGCGCTCAAGATGGGTCCACTACCTATGAAGTGTTGTCAAGTCGTTGCATGTGTCGGTATCCAGACTCGAATGTGTACTGTAACCGATGACGGGCCTGGTTCACGAACTATTCCGCTCAACCCCTCGGCATCCTCCAAGCCCAAGGCTGTTTGCTGAAGTGGCCCTGTACTCGTCGTGCGGACTCGTGCTTGGCCTGCGCGCTGAATTCGGCTCCGAAACAACTGAAGCCTGCCTGCCACTTTCGCCACTTGCCACTCTCCTGCCGCTGAGAGCACTTTCATGTCAGGTAGACGGTAGTTCTGGGATCTCTCAACTTTTATCCCTTCTACTGTCCGTACTCCATATGCCCGGCGCTACCGTAGTCAGGCATTGCTCAGGGGCGGGTCAGGAACCGGGATGTCCTGTTGTCCCATACTCACCGCGTACTCCGGACGGAACTGGCGTCGCTACGAGCAATGACGACGAAGCTGCAGATTGCCGGACATGACGGCTGTTTCTTAGCGTGCAGGTGACACGTGTAGGGCCTGTTCCCTGTAGGGGCTGCAGAAATTCAAATGTGGGCAAGGGCGGGAGTATCCGTAAAATGGAGCGTCCTTCATGGACCTGCGATGTAACACGAAGGGGCCTGAGGACCGGCTTACAGTCTAGCCCTGGTTTGTTTATCGGCGTGGGTACATGGGAAGGCAGTAGAAAGGAAATGGAAAGAAGGAATTCAGGGACAGTGATTTAGAGAACGAGGAAGGAAAGATACAACGAAGATAGATTGAGAGGAAGTGGAGACAAAGATAGATCAGGCGCTAGAGGACAACTAAAGAGGATGAAAAGGAAAGATGACAAGTAGATAAGATGAAGTTTAGGAAGTCCAGATAGAGACGAAAAAGAGGAAAGAAGTGAGACACATAGATAAAAAGGCAATGACAAAAAGGAAACCAAAGAGAAAGAGAGCATAGTTAACTAAGAGATGAAAGCTTGCCATCCGATATCCGGAGGAACCGTCGTTTTGTCAAGCCATACCGGCAATGCGAGGAAGAGATGGTGGCCCGACCGATCGTCTTAGCCCCTATGTGAAGTTAGACTGGCGTATCCCACCTAAATACATGTATTCTCCTCGTCTGTAGGATTTTTTTGCGAGTGCCGCTTGTCTTGATGCGGCATGGCAGGTATATCAGACTGGGTCCTGGGAGATTGCGTGCGGTTCCTGGAGCGCGAAGCCGAGTCCAGGATCATGCCATTGCTGGGCCCCTCGAGCCCAAAATTTCGACAGGGCGGGAAGTCTAAGTAAATAATGCCATCGCCCGAATTTGGTGATGGTGGGCAATGGGTCGGCGGCGCAGAGAATGTCGGCCGTTAGTTGTGGCTGTTGATTGTTTGGCCGCCGGGATAAGGTACAGTACGTTCCAAGTTGCTGACTACGGCCGGGCCCAAGTGGCGAGGAACTGATCTGACTGAGGGAGAGGTTGCCCATAAAAGTTCAGAACGAGTAGCCATAAGGACAAAAAACCGCACCTCCTGAACGACAATGAAGTCCAGAAGCTGTCGCTTCTATTGGGACGGTAAAAAAACTGTTCTCTAGACATGTAGTTCACTTTTCTTTCAGGGTAAATTACGGTCAGGGTCCACAAGTCTCCATACACCCCGCTTAATAAACGCGACGCTCCACGCGTCGCGACACCCCTATGCTCTTCCAACTGCAACAACTCAACATCATGAAGCTCAATTTAGCGCCAATTGAGGGAAAATCGCGGTCGGAATGAGGAATTACTACCAGTCGCTCGTACAGCCATTTACTACGCTGTGGCTTACGGTAAAACCTACCGGGCTATCGTGGACGCGTTGAGCGTCTCCGTCGGCGCCATACAAGACTGCATTCGACGCTGGGAAACTCAACAGATCTTTGAGTCGAAACCTCAAAAAGGCCGTCTTCAGAAGCTTTCACGATCGGAGAAGCGGTATATCCTGACTCTCTTGAAGAGAAACCGGGATATTGCTCAAAAGGCTCCCGTTGCAGCCACGGTGTCTAACGTGTCCTACTCGACAATATTATTATTATTCCTACACCGCTGTGCCCGACAATACGTTGCGCCTCCGCGCTCAGAACCTCCGCAAATGGAAAGCAAAGAGAAGGATACCTCTCTGAAGGAAGACGCCCAAAGGAGGTATAACTGGGTGTATATGTAGCTAAAAGGCACCGAGGGGTTGTTGAGAGTTCAAAGCCCCGGTTCAATATATCATTTTCCTTTACTGCTCTGATTTAGACGCTCTTTTCCGATAAATGTTCATATCAAATTAACACTTCAAATCCGACTTCTTAGGTATTTTATTTCCCTTCTAAGCGGTTCGTTTACTTGAGGAACCATATTAAGGCGAATATTACGATCATAGTCTGGGTGATGCGGGAGGCACCAGAGGGATGGCATGGTATGGGTGTAACTGAATTGCTGGAAGGAAGGTGTTGGAAAGCCAACAGCCACGATTCCACGGTGATCACACAGATGATGGGAGCTTACAACAGTGGGTTTGAGATACTCGGAGCATCCCAGATGTTCTTGATTGAAGGTTGTTCCTCTCTTACGTCTCCAGCGACGGGGGAATCGCCCTGACCTCGTTGCCCAGCGCCCTGGTTACCCCTCACGTTGCCTGACGCTCAGTTGGGCAGCCATGCATCCAACAGCAGGGCACTTGCAGCTGAGCGTCCGAAGTTCCATGTGCCACGACTTTCCAACAGAAGGATGAAGATTCAGAAGTCGGTGTCGCGCGTCCTGCATGCAAGATAAAACTGGCATGGAGGGGCTGCGCGCGCACAGACCTTTGCAGCGGGGCAACTCTACATGATGCCTTCCGGTATCACTGGGGAATGGTCTAGAGAGGTCAGCTTGCTACATTATTTTCAGATATTGATACAGTTCAGTAGCATCTTTATCACGGGATCCCCGTTCCTGTTCTTATGGTAATGTTATATAGGTGTGGTCACTGTTCTCATGATTGTATTATAGGCATGTACTCCAGCATATAGGTCTGGTTGCACACCCGTTCCTGTCATCTAGCTCTTGCTCTCTTCGTAGCAATATTGATCCTGTATGTGCGAGCTGACCAGACCTTGGGCGGTGCCCGTCATAATCTTTGAGACCACTCTCTACTGTGCCTGCGACTGTTGGATGGATGATCGAGCCGACTCCGGTTTGTGTCACCCTCCGCCGGGTTTCCGCTTGTATCGCCGCATCCGATTGATGCCAGTGGCAGTATATAGTGTGTGTTTAAGAATAACGTTAGCGTTAGATGATGTCTTACTAAGAAGGGTAAGAAAAATGTAAGACTCAATTCCTCGATCTGTAACTTCATGTCCAGCAGTTGTGCGTTCACATGGGATCAGGTATGGTGAGTTGTGTCATCGTCCGCGAACAGTAGCTTACAGTGGCTTACAGTAGCTCCATTACAACAGTTTGATCGACCCGCCGGATTGGGCATGACCGAAAGAAATATCAGCCAGTCAGAGAGCGGAGCGCTTGGAACGCTAGTTGCGCTGGGAATGCTACTTGCGGTAAGAATGCTAGTTGACACATCAACGGCAGATTGTATCCCTGGAATGCGAAGTATCATACCCGCCTAGTGCATTTTCCCACTACGGTAGGTATCTGAAGATCAGAGAGACACCTACAATCATTAGAACAGCTAGGTAACAACAAAGATCTGCTGGAACCGTCCTAATGTTGAGCCATGTTCAAAAATGAAGAAACCGAGGTCAAGCGGCCAGTCTGAGCGCCTGAAGATCAGGAAAGTGATACCATGGAGCCGCTGACAGGTTCACCTTGCATGGAATGAGGAATGAGATCACAAGGATCGAGGCAATCGAGTGCTCTTTTTGAAGATCGTCGCTGGATTCTCCGTCAAAGAGGGTGGGACCTTGCCGTTCTGGGGCTCGCAAAACTCCTTTGGGAGCTGCCCATCGCCCTGCACCTGGCGGGTGCCACCATGGCCGAACTGGGGGTGAACAATTTGCCGCAGTTCAGCAGCTTCTCCATGCTCTATGCCAAGACCAAAACTGAGCGCCGTTGTGGGGGTTACTGGGTGCGGCATGCGAGAAACCTGAAGTATTGGAGATCAGATTCTCAGGCACCAGAGGACTCCGGCCCAGCGATCTCCAAGACACCGACAAAGCTCACATCGACAAGTACCTAGGTGCAATCCTGTTAGTTGCGGTCCTCATCTGAGAGTTCTTGAGCTCAGCTTTCATGGGTTTCACATCAACATAGTCACAGATGAAGGCGAGCGGTCCGGCGCGTATCCTGTCGACCCCATTATCACCAGGATCCGTCGCCTCTGCTTTGCATACTTGGGCCTGCAGCAAAAGACGCTCGATATGTTCTGCAAGAAGCTGGGAAACAGGCTTGAATCCCTTGGTCTGTACGACGTCAAGCTCCATGACGGCCGCTGGGCAAACGCTGACGATATTCTACGCACTAAGCTGGCGCCAGGTCCAGCCGTGGCACGCCACAGCTTGGCCGGGCTTCAATGTGTGGGTTCCCGTCGATTGTGCTGTCGGAACTTCAAGGGGGCGACTTTGCAGCGGCGCAATCCGAGGCATCGAGCCCATTGGAAGAAGGGAATCATCAATCAGCGGTTCGCAGTACAGAACCGCTGGAGTGGCAGATCGAGAGGTACATTGCTGGCGAGCTGGAGCACAACCCAATGCGGGACTGAACCAGGCCATCAGAAGCTGAAAGCCCAATACAGTGTTGTACGTCACTATCCCACCGTTGCCTTGGTGATATGTGCGTGTGAAGAGTTGGCTTTTCGATTGCAATGGTGTAAGCGTTCGGCATCGCGGCTGTGCTTCGGCCTGATGGGGCTGAACATGTTCTTGGCCTTTCATGTTGCCGTTTTGGGAAAGATTCTGTCAAGCCCGTGGAATTGGACCGGGGCTTACCATTCCATCATCACCGTGTCCAGGGGCACAGTTCACTGGCCACTCTATGTAGCGTGGGCTACTTAATCCCGCAAGAGCCCATTTCGTCGTTGATTTCGAGCTCAAGACTTACTCCAAGCTCTCGCACCACATCCAAACCTCAACTCGCAGAAGCCGGCATCCCGATTCAATGTCAAACGAGAAGATCCCTGTTGGACCACCGCCCCCCTACACACCAAACAACATGTCCCAGTCGCGATCTGAGTTGCAAACCCAATCTCCCTACGCCTGTCCGTCGACACCTCACAGTGTCCTAGGCTGGGTTCAAAGTCCCGGTTTCTCGTCTCAACCGCCCGCGGGTCCGGGCATGGAATCCTACGGGCAGCCAACCATCCAATCCCAAAGCCATCAGTTGTACAAGTACCAAGCACAACAGCCTCAACCGCCCTACCAAGCCCACCAACAATGGCCGCATACTCCGACTGCACCCCTCTGGCCAACTGCCATTTCTCAGCCGCAGCCCACAGCCTACCCCAATATGCATTCACATCAGCTCTCGCCACTCCCTCCACCACCGCCCTTGATCCCCCCGCCCCCAATCACAACAAACTACCCCCCACTCGAATACCCTTACATCCCCACCGCAAAGCGCCAAATGACGGTCCTCTCCCCAGACCGCACCCAGCCGCTATTCACGGTCGTCTACCCATCCGGGTGGTCAACCACACCCAAACTTACCATCCGCCGCGGCAGCTCCCCGGACGGGCCCGAAGTCGGCGGCGCCCACTTCCACTCCCTCACGACCGACAAGGTGGACGCCTTCCTCGTCGCGCCGGGCGGCGGCAGGTTTGACTATCACTTCCGCAAGAAATTCCGCTCGCACACGGGGCTGACGCTTCCGACTGTTGGGGATGGTGCGAAAATGATGAAGTGGGCTATCGAGGACGGGGCGATGGTTCTTCTGAGCGAGGAAGGAGGAAGGGGTGGGGGGTATGTAGCGCGGTTTGTGGCCAGCGATCTTGGGGGCGAGAAGGGCGGCGTCAAGGACGCGACGAAGCGGTTGGAGGGGAGGTTGGAGATTTGGAGGGCTGGGTTGACGGCGTTGCAGTTTGAGGAGGTGTTTGTTACGTTGGTGGCCGAGATGGAGAGGAAGAGGAGGGATAATGAGGACTGGGAGATTTTGGAGGCGATTTGGAAGCATTCTTCTGGTTCCGGGGACGATTGGGGTGGGCTATTTTAGGTATGGATGCGGGGCGCATCCACCGTGTGTTCATTTTGCGGAGAATGAGACATAGGTTGTCTAGTCCAGCGGTTGTTGTGTGAGAGTCCGAGGCCACCATAGCGGACTGAGATTTTTGAGTCGACACTCGATGAGGATATTTGGATTAGTTACAGTACATAGGTTAGACGGCGTCGAATTACATATATTTTAAGAAGGATCAGGCTTTGCCCCACTGAGACTTCTATCTCAATCCGGAGCAAATGCCTGCAACTTTTGGATGTCCTGGCCTAGGCGGGTTGTCATCTCCCGCCAGCGTTATACGCGGTCTGGTCGGCGGACTCTTTCCTATCCCCAACCCCCTGGGTAGCTGCACTCAGTATCCGCTCCGTCACAGCGGCGCTTCCGGACAGTCCATCCCCCGCGATGAAGTACGCAGCCAACCCAGCAACATGTGGCATTGCCGTGCTCGCCCCGCTCATTATCGCCCTGGAGTCGTCATTGATGTTTTACGCGCTCGGAATCCACACTCCCGGCGCGAAAACGTCCACATCGTCCCCTCAGTTCGAGAATTCGGCGCGCTGGTCCTCCTGGTCGATCGCCCCAACCGTAATGGCCGAGGCAACCGACGCCGGCGTCCAGTTCTTCAAATCGCGTTGTCATTCCCCGCCGTCACGACAACCGTCATCCCGGCGTCTGTCGCCGCCTTTACGCCCTCGTTGACCGACCGCTTGCAGAATCCAGTCAACGACACGTTGATGACGGCTGTCTAGGTCAATGCTGCCCACAAGTCAAAGCGCCAAGCCAAGGCTTGGCTCAACGCAAGTCAAAGCAAGTCAAATCGACCCCAAAATTTGGTCAAGGCAAGTCAAGTCGAAGGC